TATTATTATTATCATCATCATCATCCATCATCATCATCATCATCATCATCATCATCATCATCATCATCAAGTAAAGACGTACTCGTACCGCAGCCTTGCCTCCGTGTATATTGTATATTGTTCTGCCTCCGTGTATATTGTTGAATACGTTAGTAGCCTAACAGTAGTACTAAAGGAGTATACATTACATAAAGTTACAACATGGTGTCAGAAGTTGGCGTTACGGAGTGAGCCGAGGACGGTACGGTGTACAAGCGGACTGAAGATTAGTCGACAGCGAACAGGTGGCGCGAACATGGAGCAGTTCAAACCTGTATATATTCGCTTCAGGTGCGTTGGACACAGAAGAGACGCTCAAAGTAGCCATTCTTCATCACACAGTTGGCGAAGAGGCACTAAAAGTATACAACACACTCAATTACCCCAGCCGGAGCCAACGCAACGATGGAGGAAGTTCTTAAAGCATTCAAGGACTACTGCAGCCCGCAAAAGAACGTTATTTTCGAGCGTCATCAATTCTGGTCACACACGATGTCAGCAGGAATATCGGTGGACAGATTCATCACGGAGCTACGTCAGAAGAGCAAAGACTGAGTTTGGTCGAAATGAAGATGACATGATTAGGGATAAATTAGTGTTCAGTATAAACGACACTCGTCTAAAAGAGAGACTGCTACGTGATAATGAGCTAACTCTGCGCAAGGCCATAGACATATGTAGATCTGCAGAGCTTGCCAAAACACAAATACAGGCGATGCAGATGTCACCTGTCATCCACGACACCTCAGTGGATGCATTAAGGAAAGCAACAGGGCAAACACGAACGGGTAGCTGGAACAAAAGCAAAACAAGCAGCAAGAAGCAAGCAACAATTGTCTGCCATAAGTGTGGCAACAAGCATGAGCCTCGTCAATGCCCAGCTTATGGAGCAGTGTGTCACAAATGTGGGAAAAACAACCATTTCTCAAAGGTATATAGAGCAGGCACTGAAAAAAGCAGCAGCTATAAGACAAAGACTGTAAATAATATAGAGAGTGAAGTGGACTCTTTATACATTGGCATGGTTCATAATGATGAGACAAGTGGCACGCCAAACGAAAGGCACTGTGTGGCACGAAACAGCCACAATCAGAGGCGTAGTGATTAATTTCAAGCTTGACACAGGTGCTGACGCAAACGTGCTTCCCATGTCCATGTACCGGCAGCTACCAGGTCCCATTCATATGCGGCCCACAGAGACGGTGCTGATTGCCTTTGGTGGAGCCCACGTACCCGCAGATGGTGTTGGGGGCCTGTCTGCTGCAGGAAGGTCGCCCAGTGTGCTATGCCTCACGAGCACTTACCGACACTGAAAAGAGGTAAGCACAAATAGAAAAAGAGTTGCTCGCTATTATAGTGTTTGCCGCCAAGAGATTCCACCAATATGTCTATGGTAGACCAGTAACTGTGCAGTCTGATCATAAGCCTCTGGAGGTCATCGTGCGCAAGCCGCTAAGCAAGGCACCAGCACGGCTGCAAGGAATGCTACTACAACTACCGAGGTATGATCTAAGCATCACATACACACCAGGAAAGCAGATGTACATCGCTGACACACTCTCACGCGCCACAGCGAGCAGGGATGGCGAAAATGTTGACGAGAACCCCTGCGATGAGAGAGTTGTGTATGTCTTGGAGAAGAGGCAACCGCAGCAGACAGCATGTTACAAGCTGTGTGTGAGAAACACATGAAAGGGTGGCCTACGAAAAAGCGTAGCCTGGACAGGAAACTACACAGCTACTGGACAATGCGGCAAAATATCAGCATACAAAACGACATTGTGATGGTTGGAGACAAAATCGCCATACCCCAGAGCTTCAGGAAAGAGATTTTGGAGAAGCTTCATCTCGCTCACCAAGGAGTGCAAAGTCAAAGCACGCAAAGTCCTCTACTGGCCTGACATGGCACAAGATATAGAGACAATGGTGGAGAAGTGCACGCAGTGCCAGCGGCTACAGCCCAAACACCAGGCACTGACGAAATACAGGACCTGCAGTCACGCCAAAAGCAATGCTATGACCAGCATGCAAAGTCACTGCTGGCGTTGACCTCAGGTGACACCGTACACATCCAGACACGGCGCGGTTGGGAGCCTGCAATTGTCATCCGACAGCGAGATGAACCACGCTCCTACACCGTGCAGACACCGGCAGGAAGGATGCTCAGGAGGAACAGGCGACATCTGAGGAAGATACACCCGAGTCTCTTCAGAGACACTCACTTTGATGAACACTTAGACTCAGAAGGACAAACTTCTCAGACACCAGAGACAGTTGACACACCACCACACGATCCTCCCCCTGTGAGTATGGACAGTAGACCCACATGCTACACCAGGAGTGGTAGAGCGGTCAGGCGCCCTGCCAGGTATGGATACTGATCTCATGGACAATTTATGTTGTTATTCTATAAGTGTACCTTGAGAGAGATTTAAAAAAAAAAAAAAAAAAAAAAAAAAAAAGAATTTAAAAAGTGAAAAGGAGGGGGCAAAAGAGTGGATATAACCTGAAAATGTTTTAATTGAATGTTCATATGCTTTATCCAACAGAATACAGAACAGAAAAATGGTTTGTGGTGATTATTGAAAACATGTTTTAGTGATCATTGAAACATGCATGTTGAAAAGAGGCATGTTTGTGTTGATACACAAGAGTTAATGGCTAAAGTTAGGTAGCTGGTTTTGGAGACCACTTCCC